AAGCCTTCTTAAATCTTCTTAAATCTTCTTAAATCTTCTTAAATATTAAATATTTTTAAAGCTTTCTAAATCTTTCGATTATTGGCAATCCCGACACGTTCATGAATGTTGTGGATACCGAAAATACCGAGAATACCGAAAAAATACCGAAAATCCAACTTTTTTTTGTCGATTTATACGGATTTTCTGATAAGAAATATCAAATTTTTTTTTTTAAAAGTCAATGCTATACGGATTTTTTCTGATAAGTGATAAGGCATATGCTCGCATTAAATTGTCAAAAAGAAACTTTTTATTTTAATTTTTTCTATTGATTCTATTCTAATTTTTTTTATTTTTCTTTTTCGTTCATGGCTACCGAGCATTTTCTTTCTTTGCTGTTAAATATTGTTGTATGGTATATAAAACTTGTATATAAAACTTGTATATAAGATTTACTTATTACTTTTTTTTTTTTTTATTACATTTATATTTATTACATTTTATATATCACATTCGGTGAGTCTGCACGTTAGTTCATATTTCAATACATTTTTTTATAATAAAAAAATATATATTATCTATATATAAGTATATAACATTATTTAATATTTATTCAATTTCTACGTACTAATTTTTTTTTATATTTTATTATCTGTTATGTCGAATTTCGAAATTTAAAGTTTAAGGACATATAGCAATATAATATTTTATTACACTCTTCATATGATAGGTTAATATTTCGAGTTATACAATATAAATTTTTGATGTATCGGTATTACCTCCTTAATTCTGTAATTATTATTATTTAATTTATTTATATATAATTTATAATATATGTGTATTCTATAAACTGCGTTATTTATACTATATTACTTTATAAAATTACTATATATACCTGTTATACTCTGACAAAATAAAAATTCTATAAATCTTCAAAAATCCCGTAAAAAAAAAAATTTTTTTTTGAATCTTCGATTTTAGATATCTTTTTTTACCTCTCTACTTAAAATATTATCAAAGCTCTCTTTGATAATAAGAAAATTTTCTTTCATCTATTTATTTAGTTTAAGTATAACATTTGTGGTTTAGTTCGTTAAAACTCACCCACACGATAACCTTGGATAATAATCACACTGAAGTGCATAAGTGGTCTCGAAAAGGTACTTAAAAAAAAAAAAAAAAAGCACTAAAGCTTTACTTTTTATTCTGTTTTATATCTTTTTACGATTCTTTTATTAGTATTTTTCTTTTTCTGTCTCCTTAAAGTTTCCTTCTAAACCTTCGAATTCTGACTTCGTTTTTTTTTGTTGATCCACGTGATTCGATTTTATTCGAATTTTTTGATTAAGAATAGTTTTAAACGCGCTTAAAGAGTTTTATTTCAATTTATTTTATTATTATTACTTATCTTTTCATTTTATTTTGCGGTTTTTTTCGAAATTTATCATTCTTTTCGATCAATTTTTCAATATATATATATTTTTTTTGACTATTCTTTTATTCCTATTAATCTTATTTTTTTTGTTAATATTATTAAAATTTATTAAGATTTATAATCTTAAAATTATTAAATAATTTATTTTTTTTCTTATAAAGTTATTAATCTTAATATTTTTTTTTTCTCTATTTTCTTAAAAATATGTACCTTTCATGATTAAAGTTAATAACGTCATGCCAGCTACTTCACCCACCGCGGTGCGCCCTTCAAAATACACCCTGAATAAGGACAGACAGGTATGTAAAAAAATCTAGGGATTTTTAAGGGGAAAAGAATTTTGGATTCAATCCAAGTTAGGAAAAAGGAAAAAAAGAACGGAAAATCATGTGACTTTAGTCACGTTATAGATTTAAAATAATAATAATAATAATAATAATAATAATAATAATAATAATAATATAGTATTAATGATTATATGTAATAATAAAATATATAGTAATAATAATAATAAATGATAAAAATATTAAGCTTCTTTTTTAAGAATCTTTTTTTAATATCTCGTATTCTTTCTTTATAATTCTTAGGGCGCGTCAACGGCATCAACCACAACAAACCGATCCACATCAAAAATGTATGGTGCCATGACGATAACGGTGCAGGTAATTATTAATATAATTGAAATAAAAATATTGTTTTATAATTATTTTTATAATATAATTTCTAACATAATTTTTAACATAAAAAAAAAAAAAAAATCCCCCCACTTTAATTATAATTACTTCAGGAACAAATTCAAAATTTACAAAATTCATCCGAGGCTAAAAAGAAGGTAATATTCATATAGTCAAGTACACGGTATTGCAAGACCGCGCTACAGTACAGTACGTTTAAGGTAAAAATTTTTCGATTGAAGTATTCTCAACAAAATTTTATTAACACTCAATGTGTTGTTGAATCTATTATTAGAATCTTCCTCAACGACCTATAACTCCTTATGGAAGTCATTCTAAAAATGTTATAGAGGGAAATAAAGCTGTCTCTAAAAAAATAATAAGAAGAGAGGAATCCCCTCCGGCCTCACCTCGTTCCAGACCTGTTACTCCTCATGATGTTCAACAACGTAGGCCTATTACCCCAAGTACCTCAAAGGAAAAAAGACCAACAAGTGGTATTTTAAAGAAGAAGCTTCCCACTCCTCAAGATACTACCCAAAAATCTCCTGCTACTGTTTCTGCTCATACTTCTTCTCATCAAGCTACAGCTCATCGTCGATCTCATGAACGTGTTGTTGTTTCTCCTGATAAATCTTTATTGGAAGAAAACAGAAAATTAAAACGTCAATTGGCTGATTATGAAGAAAGGTTATTAGAGAAGGAAAATGAATACTTGGAAGCTTCTGATATTATTGAAGCTTTATCCGCACATGTT